CTCCATTTTACTTACCGGCTTATTTTAGGGCTCCTGCTCTCCGAAAAGCTGGTTTGAACAGGACATCTCAAGAGCATCATTTCCAAGATGAGGCTGGAGTTTGTAATATTCTCTACTTAATATGCACTTTGCCTTGTCATACTGAGTTCCTTAATCCCCTGCAGGGCCAGCTCTGCCGAGTGTGAAACGAGCCAATTCCCCAACTGGGGTCCTGCTGGCCTCGGGGGACTTTGGTCTGAACTCGCCCATGTATGTCCGGGGCGCAGGCACAGACTCGGCGCTGGGTGGACCAGGGAAGGTCAAGAGTGACGGGCACTGCGGGGACCCCTCGAGGGAGGAAACAGGGAGCTCACAGCCCCAGTGCTCTGCTCTCCCGGCCACCTGGCCTTCACAGGCCCTTGAGGAAAACACTTGGCTGTTATAAGGAACTCAGAGCATCTTTATGTTGACTCACTAAAAAAACAAATACAGCAGGAAAAAGCCACTTCAGTAATAGTAACTGAAACCAGCATGTGCAAGAATTACGGCATCTCGTGTGTCCCCCAGGGACGACATGCTGTGTCAGTGCCTCCTCAGACAGGATGGTGGCTTCGAGAAACATGGACGGAACAGGCCGGCCTGGACAGTTGCCTTCAAAGATTCCACGCCACCTCCAAGCAGCTCACCGGCTGCGAGGGCCTCATTTAGGAGGGTGGGACGAGAACAGACGTTGCTTGGCTTTGATGTAGAAGAATAAACTCTCTAAGCTACAGGGAACTCGGGATGAAGCAATTCAGCGTGGAGAGGGATGTGCTTCTTAAAGGCAGCTGCCAAACCAGCACCGAATTTAGTCACACCGTAATCAAAGCATGGTCCCCGAGAATGCAGGCAGAGCAAGTTCCTCCTGCCCTAGCCCCAGGCCAGCCACTCCGACCAAGAAACCACTTGGCCTCAGGGACACCCAGAGGACTCACCTACCTAATCCTACCCATCCTGTGATACTCAGGGTGCCAGTGTTTCAGATAAGGCCAAGAATCCTAGTAGAAAGAATTGTAGTCTGTTTCACGGAAGACAAGAGTCAATTCCAGATGAAAACCTTTATAAGATTTTAGCTGGGCTTCAGCATTCTGGTGTTTTTGATATGATAGTCTAGGTAGAATTCAGTGCAATGTGGTACCAAGTAGATGTGTAGCCCGTGAGCAGGCAATGAATCAGTGAAGATGAAAACAGAACATAGGTGTTTTTTTTTTCCTTTTTAAATAGAAACGGGCCTTGCTCTGTCGCCCAGGCTGGGGAGCAGTGGAGTGATCGCAGCTAGCTGCAGCCTCCACCTCCCGGGCTCAGGCGATCCTCCCGCCTCAGCACGTGCCGCCACACCCAGCAGGTTTTAATTTAACACAGTTACGAAATGCTGGTAGCGGCGGGCTTCCAGGCAGGTTTGGGGGACCCTGCCCAGGCAGCGAGCTTCCCCGTGCTCACACGCACTCTCCCTCCTCCCCGCACGTACTGGCAGCACCTGAACGGCTTCACCTGCAAAGGCACCGGGAAGACAACAGACTGAAATGGTGACTCAGTAAAGAATGAAACACAGGAGCCAGGAATCAAAATAGTCCCTTTAAATTCTCAACTTTAAAAAGATTTAATTTTTCCAAATTAGAGACTTTCTCTGCCAGGTGCCAGGGAGAGATGAAGAGCTGGTCATGCCTCAAAATGAGAGTTTCGTGTTGCACAGAAGCCACAGAATGAGAAGGTCCGAGGCCGGCCGGAGCTGAGACACATCACAACAGCCATGTGCTCAGCAGACAGCTGTCACCACGCAGCTGCAGGAAGAAACAAGTTACTCATGGAATCTTCTTTTTTGTATCAAGCATCTTCCTAAACAGAATCCCAGTGGCCTTGGCGCACTTCCTGCGTACACCTGACACCACACAACTAAAACCAAGTCTTCAGCCTATCTTGAGTTTCGTCATTAAGTACATTTGTAAAGTCATGTGTTTGGGTTTTCAGCTCTGCTAGTGTTACAGGCACATTTGAAACAAGTGATTCGGTCATTCCCTGCATGCACAGGTAGGGTCTACAAGGGTTTAGGGCAGGGCCAGGGACAAACAAGCCAAGTGTGGCCGACACCCATCTTCATGGTGATGCTGTCACAAAGCCATGAGCAACAGTGCGAGTAGCAGAGATGCATTTCCTGTCACTCACAGTCCCATTTTTCTTCACCGGGCTGTGATCACGGCATTCCTGGTCTCTTCTATACGTGGCCCACCGCTGGCCATGGAGAAGACAAGAACATTCTTTCTCTTCTCTCCTCCCCAAATGAAACTGAGTAGGAAGAGTCGCCAAACGCACCCTCAGTGGGATGGGGCTGCCATGAAGCTCCTGACGAGCGGCAGGGCCAGGCTGCTCCAGGAGAAGCTGAGGGGGGTGACCGTCTCGTCCCAGTCTGGCCCAGGAGGGGATCTGCTCTGGGATGAGCGTAGAGGCCCCAGGGCCCTGCTGACACTGACCCGGAGGTGACGGCAGCTCAGCATGGCCACAGCAGGTGGTGCTTGGCTTGCAAGATTTGGCAAATCGCCCCAAACCACCACCTTCAAGCCTGACTCACACCATCTGCACATTACTCTCGGTGTTAGGGAATAGGAAAGGCAGGGATAAGTGACCCACATGTGACCTCAGATATGAACTATATTTCTTACACTTACCGTCACCTCTTTTATACCCAGCTTTGTACTCAGGAACCAGAACTGAACAAAAGACCATGCGTTTCATTACAGACCAGTTTCTGTTTTAGCATTTATTGGGTGCCCACCACCGGCCAGGCCGAGCTGGGCGCTGCAGGACAGATGCTCACATTATAACCTCACAACAACCCTGTGAGGTGGGGGACGATTCCTACTCAACAGTCCAGAGAACCGCGGCCCCCAGGGAACCCGCTGCTCACCACCTAGTCAGTGGCAGAAACAGGGACTGAATTCAGTTTTGTTTTTTTTTAAGAGACAGAGTTTTGCCACATTGCCCAGGCTGGCCTTGAACTCCACCAGGAGACAGGAGGCTCCTCCACAGCCCCTGCCGCAGCTGGGATGACAGACACACGTCACCACACCCCGCTGAATTCAGTTCTTTTTCACTCCAGCTTCACTCCAGCTCTTGGTTTCATTATTTTAGAAACTACAAAAAGGTTTGGTCCCAATCCAGAGCCCATTCGATCAATTTCCAGGTTTTGTTTCCTATCTCCCACCCCCATGACCTTTCTTGAAGTTTGGAAAAATATATAATTAAAAATTAATATTGGCGTATAGTTTGGAGTTCAGCAAATCAGCACACGTGTTGTTTGGTTCAGAGTCCCTTCTTGTCTCGGCTCCTGGCACGGCAGTTAAGGGTCCTAGTGACCCCCTCATGGCTTCCCTTCTCTCTCCTGTCTCCCTGTCGCTGCCTCATGCCCGAGGCCTGCAGGCCACGCTCTGACTGGTTCAAGCACAGAGGAAGTGCTTGTGGCAATGAAATAGGCAAAAGAAAAATCCTCACACAATGGTTAGCAAACACACATAAATCCTTTTTGTTTTCCTCAACCGAGAGCCCTTTGACCTCCCTCTCTGGGCCCACAGGTTAGGCCTGACCTGGGCAAAAGGGCTTTCCGTGGTCTGGGCAGGAAAGCACCTGCCCAGCCGTGCTGGGGCCACCAAGGGGGAGGGCAGGGCCGGACAGGCACGGGATGCCAGAGGCCACCCTCCCTAACTGCCTCATCTCAAAGTGCGGGGAAACCAAGGCAGAATGAAGGAATTAAATTCCCAACATCTTCTAGAACTGCCAATCCCAACGAAAGATGAAAGAAACCTGGCAAAGCAGATTTGAGTCCCCAAACCACAAGTGTAAAAGCCAACAAGAAAGGCACCAAAACTAAGAACATTTTAACACAGAACTTGCAGTGCAGCCCTCCTCTTTGGTTGTCAGGAAACCCTACCTCGGGGTTCCAAATCTATCACATATGTACACTTTCGACAATTATTTCCCCATTAATACTCACTCTTGCCAAACAAGCTTCCTCAGAGATGGCATCCATGGCCACTTTCTAAAGACAGGACACTCTGGGTCCTGTGCCACCAGCCTCTGGTGCAGTCAAGGCTGTGTCCTGCCATGGCTCCCTACTCTCTGGCAAAGGAGCAGCCTGGCTGGCACGTGCCACCGCATCAGACTGTCACTAGCATCCCACTTGCAGAGGAGCAGGGACAGACATACAGGAGATTTTAAGTTCACTGGCGCCACCTTTCACGTCTGCCTGGTGAAGGCACACTCTGCCTACGTGCCAGCTCCCCCAGAGATGCCTGCGCAGGCGCCCTCGCATCTAGAGTCTACCGTGAAGCCACTAGACCAGCCCAGGAACATCGGGAGCATCGTAGCCACAGAAGTCAAGCTGACAACTCCCCATGGAAGCTACTCAACTGCTACGGCCTGAAAACAGGCATCTCTCATCCTTCCTCTGTTCAAAACCCAAAAACCTGAAAGGGCAGGGCCAAGACAGTATTTCTGCCTTTTTACTTCTGTCCTTAACTTTCACCACTCAAGACTCTAAAATGATCTTTCACGCCATTAACTCCACTTAAATGCCCTCAAAACTTTAACTGCTATATGTCTTGGTTTGGAATGCAGAGTTTGAGGTATTTGAGGTTGTTTTAATTCTGTAAAAATGAAAAGGGAAGCTAGGCAAATACTGAAACTTGCGACCACAATCTCTCATCACTTTGCTGAACACGTTTTCTAAGATTAAAATAGAAAAGGCACATGTCCCCTGGCCCAGTAGGTGTCCAGAGCCACCTTCTCTCCCGTGCTGCTAGCTGTTGCTACCATTCCCGACACAGGGAAGAAGAGCCCCTGACGGACAGTGGAGCTCAGGGGGAGGACGATTCAGATACCCTTCACATTTGAATTCTGTGCTTTCTTGGGCGTAAGAGTAGCTACAAACTTTCCTCTTAAACAACAATAAAAAAAAAAAAAATCACAGTTATTCCACAAGAAGAGTAAAGTAGAAGAACAGATAATTTAATTATACAAATGAGATCACTTTCCTTTGCTTCAAGGAGCCCAGGTAATCTTTCAAGTTCACCTCCTGTCAGAATGAAAGGTTTTTAATATGAGAAACCACCTCTCTCTCTTCCAATATCCATATGGAAAACAAGATCAAAAACAAAAGTCCACCATGGAAGAAATCCCAGAATAATACAATTTGGAAAGAATTTAATTAACAGAATAAAACGGAGAAGAATGGTCCAGTGGGGCTCTGGGGAAAGAGGACCCCTGTCTGAGGCCGATGTCTGCCCAGCACACCGGTGAGCCCCAAGCGGGCAGCCCTTGGACCTGTCACTGCAGAACCAGCCTTGACAACCAGAACCACTCTGCACCATGCCACGGTTTCCTTACGCACACTGGTCACTATGTACAGATAACAAAAACCAAACAATTGCAGTTTGTTATGAAGTGGCTTCTAGCTCTCCTATGCTGGCTTGGCACATTCATGCATGCAAAGCAAGGAGGTTTTGAGGGCTTCACCAAACAGTTAAATTTTGGCAAAGAGAGAGAACAAACAAAAATCTAAAATTCATAAGCAGGATTAAAAGCCACTGAAGTGAAAACGATGTATTTTCTCAACAGAATGGAGGAGTTAGACTACCACTACAATCTTTTTGTTTTATAGTCTCTGCCATCCTCTCCCCAATTCAGGTCAAAGTTCATAGCAGCAATGCACAAAGTCCTCTGTCAAGCCAGTGTTCTCTGCTTCCAGGGTCAGAGGTCACAGGTCAGGTTCAGTCAGTCCGAAGGATCATGGGAGGGTGCTCACTGTCCTCGTCCAGGCGCAGGGCGCTGGCCTCATCCTCCAGACAAGCACCGCCCACGGCACCCAGGTCATCTGTGTAGGCTGCAAAGAGATGACGGGTCATCCTGTGAGGGCTGGGACATGCTACGAATCCCAGTGACACACAGTAACTGGACTTTGGGGACAAGTCTATGTTAACATATTGCAGCCCACATTAAGACATTCTGAATTTTAATTGCTTTTATGACTAACAAGGTCTTTGCAGCCTTAGGCAGCTCAAGATGAAGTCATTTATTTTCCAAAATTCATAAATGTCAAAATGCTACCTGCACAGTAAACAGGCTTCCTAACGGATGGGCTGTAAACTCTCTTTAATGAACAGGAAGCGTGAAAGTCATTCTCGAATTGGTTACACAAGATGCTCGAAAATAATGCCGGGAGACAGTCAGTGCTTCACTGAACTGAAAGTGCTATGTCACTGAGAAAGAGCAAGGGGAACACGCAGGATCTCCCACTGGAGCTTAACTTGATTATTCGGAGAGAGGCGGTTCACAGGGAGGGGATGACTCCGTGTCTGCATGCGGACCAATCAGCTTCTGCAGCCGACGGAGCCCCGTGGCCTCGTTCACGCTGCAGCCCTCATGCCCCGAGGGGTGCGTTCAGTACAGACCCGCTGCACGATGAAATAGTGGGAGGGAAAGACCCAGGCCCAACGCCTGGCAGTGCTTTTGCTTTTTAAGGGAACATTTTAGCTGAGGTGGCAAGTCAGGCCTCAATTCACGTGAAAAGTCACCTGAGCCATGATGGCCGTTTTTTCTTCAAAAATGAAGAAAATGACCTCAGTCTCTAAAGGCCTTGGAAACCCAAGTTACAAAAACCCACCTGTCCCCAGAACCATCACTTCCCTTTCCCAGTGAAAAGTGGGAGGGGCAGCTCCAGTGAGAGCAAAGCGAGAGCACACTGTGGGAGGTGGCGGCTTTAATTACCTTCGAGGTTTGTGTCATGCCCCTTACCAAGTCTTGTCGGAGACGAAGGCACGTAAGTACCTTTTGCTACAGCTGTGCTGTATGTCTGAGTTACTAAGGGGCAGTCGTGAGAGGCAGAGTCTAAGATTTCACTGGCCGTCTCCATACTGCCATCCAACCTGGGGCAAGGAGAGAAAAACAAAAACAAGCCTCAGTGTTTCCAGAGAGGCCAGCCATGAGCACAGTCACCGTGCCACATCTGCAGCAGCACAGGCGGGCCCGAGACAGGACCCTGAGTGTCTGCAACACTGTGGCCACTTTATAGTAATCTCCTCCGGAATCTGTTCATGTTTTTTTTTTTTGAGACAAAGTCCCATTCTGTCATCCAGGCTGGAGTGTAGTGGCATCATCATAGCTCACTGCAACTCCAACTCCTGGGCTCAAGCAATCCTCCTGCCTCAGCCTCCTGAGTAGCTGCGACCACAGGTACACACCACCACACCCAGCTAATTTTTTCTATTTCTGGTAGAGGCGGGGTCTTGCTGTTGCTCAGGCTGGTTGCGAACTCCTGGGCGCAAGGGATCCTCCCACCTCAGCCTCCCAGAGTGCTGGGATTATAGGTGTGAGCCACCTCGCCTGGCCTGTTCATATTTTTACACGGAAAGTCTGATGAATAAAGTCACACCTGGTGAGGCACTCTTCTTTCATTTTTAAGATGGAAGATCATAAATAGAATTCACTACTGAAAAAAAAAAAAATCACTTCCCACTTCCACCCAGATTATAAGAGTACCAGGGCAGGGGGCAGAGTCAGTTTTATCTGGGGACGTGAAGCTCCTGAACAGCACAGGCCAGGCGAGCTGGGATCCGCTGCCATGGGCTTTGGAGGAAATGCAACGCACATGTAATGGTGCCCAAACAGCCACCTGACGGACGGCTCGGAGGAGCACAGAGGAGATGCAGGGAGAAGGGGGCCCGGCGTCAGACTCACCGGTGCTGCTTCATGAGGGCACACTCGCCCCCCTCCTGGGGGTCCAGATTGTACATGTACAGGTACCCGTCGGCGGCCCCCACCAGCAGCCGGGGAATCTTCTGAATTCTAGCAAGAATGAGAAGCAACAAAATGACAGACCACAACTTTCACAAAACTATCTTCCTAAACTAGCAGCCGCACCTTGAGTAGGGCTAGGGAAAACCCCCACCAAAACGAGCACTAATTTAGGGTCATGAGTTTGACACGTCATCTACATCTAAGTGCGCAAAGACCACGCGCACTGCTGTGCTACTGGGGGCTCACACGTCAAGGCCAAGGATGTACTTGGTGTGAACGAGCACCAGGTCCTAGAGGAGAACAGGGCAGAACAGAATGGTTTTGTGGTTTCTCTGACCAAGGGTAGGTGTTTTCACAGAACTTTTTCAACTATGCTAGTCCGATAACAAGGGTGGAAAAAATGTTTACAAGATTCACGGAATCACAAAGATACGTCATCACTGAATATTTTTGGAATCTGTGCTTGGGACCACAAACCATCATCTCTGTGCTCTGCAACAGGCCCCCTTGACTCAGCATCTCATCTGGACGTACACAGGGCAGAGGGGAAGGAGGGGGTGCCGGTCTACTCACGTGGCCAGAGCACAGATGTTTTTGTGGCCGCAGAAGGGCAGGCGGACTGTGGCAAAGGCTCTGCCCTGGTTGAACATTTCTGTCACTTGAGAAGGCAGGTAGCTGGTGGACGCCATGAGCATCTTCCCGAAGTACCCGGTCCAGGTGGTGGGTTCCTCCAGGGGTCTAGAAAGAAACGCACCAGACACGTGAAACTGGACTCTGCCCTGTGAGCATCCCCACGTGCCACCCCCACACAGACAAACAGCTCTGGAACCTGAGGCGAGATTCTCCACATTTCACAGGAAAATACAGGGTTGGTGAGAACACAGTGCTGCCCAAGGCCCCAGGGCGCTATGGAGCAGCCTCGGAAAGGGTCGGAGGATGGTCGGGGAGGGGGAGAGGCAGGCTCCTTCTGGCTCCTCTGGGGGTACATTGTGGCAGGTCACCAGGCCCCCCCTCGCAGCGAACGTGAGGTCACCTAGGGACTAACTCATGACCACCGCCAGATCTTCCTAGCAGGAAGTCTCTAAGAACCTTGAGTACGAACCCCCAATTGTTCTCTTCCCGTGGCCCATTTCTATTGTTCACCTTTGTATGTTTTGTTATCACAAATACTCCTTTGAATAACGTACAATATAAACTGTACTGATCTTAGTGCATGCTCTTTTTAAAATTTAAGGAAAGAAAAAGACAGACGATCCCCATTCACCACACATAGTCACTGTGGTAATACCCAGGTTAAACCGATTGCTTCGCAAGTGGAGCTGGCCCCATCTCTGTGCCCACCGGGCAGGTTAGAGACCGGGCATTCATTCCAGAGGGTAGTCGAATGCTTTTGTTTTCAAGGGAAGCGTGAAAAGGGGATGTCGGCACTGACTGGAAGATGTCCATCTGGACCCTTCATGCTACGCCTCATCCTCCAGCGTGCTGATGGGTGGGGACAACGTCTCACTGCCCAGCCTGGCTTTGGCAGCACTCGGACAACCAGCCAGGGTCTTCACTGGCAAACGCCACAGAGCAGGACAGTTCCGTGCTTATGTTTTCATCGAGTCAGTAAGTGGGAACAAAGTGTTTTGTATTTTTTTAAACAAACGTATCTTTGCAACTCACTTTTCTTTCACAGTCTCAAGTTTGAAGATGTGCACAGTCTCAGTGTTGCTGGACGCAGAGAGGAACATGCCGTCCATGCTGAAGGCCAGCGAGCAGATGCTCACACACCTGGGAAGACAGTGCACGTGAGAGGAGGCTGTGCTTCTGTCGTCACCTGTGAACACTGGTGACGCAACTAGTAACATTTCTCCAGGGATTTTTAACTGAACTGACTGAGAAGAAAAGCTCTCATCACAGGCATACGTGGGTCTCTTGATACTTTTTATTACTCCCCAGCCATCTTCTCACAAATTTTCTGGAGAGGAAAATGTTTGAAAGGTAATATCAAGTACGATAATGTGGCAAAGGCTGTGGCTTTGCCACAGCTCTTTAATACATCCTTAAACAGCCAATTTTCTTTGCCAACCCAAATAACAAAGGGAATCAGGATTTCATTAATCCATTTTCAGCTGAATTAGGATGGACCTACAGCTGTAAGGCTAATAAAAGAAAACCCGATAATTTAAATTTAAATTACAGCAATTCTTATCATGTCAGAAGATAAATCAGTAACCTTGAAAATGTTCAAGAATAGAACAAAACTTTCAACATGCTAAGTCTCTACAGTATATCTTTTTTTTTTTTTTTTTGAGACAGGGTCTTGCTCTGTCACCCAGGCTGGAGTGCAGTGGCATCATCACAGCTCACTCCAGCCTCCAACTCCTGGGCTTAAGTGATCCTCCTGCCTTGGCCACCCAAAGTGCTAGGATTATAGGTGTGAACCACTGCTCCTGGCCTAGCGTATCTTAAAAAATTACTGTAAAAATCCCAAAGCCATTTAAAAAACGTGAATTTCCTGATAGTCCTAAAAATACAGAGACTTTTAGCCCTGTCAATTACAGTAAAGGGTTTCACTCTTCAATAAACATTTACTGAGTGTTTACAACATACTCAGCGTTGCACTCAGCTCCGGGGATAAATTAGACAGGAATGGCTCGTGCCCTAAGGGAGCACAGTGCTTGGTGTCCATGTGGGGGCACAGCTATTACATTTGCTACGAGCAAAGGAGTCCGGAGAAGTGTGACTAGAGGGTCAGGGAAGGCCTCCCTGAGAGAGATGCTGCACTCGGACTCAAAGGGTAAATTTAGAGAAGCTGGCCAGGCCAGACACACATCTCAAGCACAGGACACAGTTCATGCACCACCCCAGTGAAGAAAAGAGATGCACTCCTCTGAGGAACTGAATGTACAGCATGGCTGGAACTGGAAACAATAGGGACAGCGAAATAAAATGAGGCTGGAAAGAAAGGCCAGATGCCGGAAGGCCTGTGGACCACGAGAAGAGTCTGGAGTGAACCCCGCAGGCAGCAGGAGGGCAGTATGAGACGTTAGGTGGGGTGTGATCTCTTTATGTCTTCAAAGATTAGTCTGGGTTCGCGCTGAAGAACGGCCTGCCTGCAGGAAGACCAGGGAGGGTGCAAGGTCGGATGGTGACGCGAGCAGGGAGGGCAGTGCACAGGGGGAAGCAGAGACACGATCGGCGCCAACTGGATGCACGGAAAGGAAGAGGGAAGCATGGCTGGGTCCCTCCGGCCTGGGCACCGGGAAGGTGGCCAGTGGTGACATTGACCAACCAGAGGAAAGTGAGGGTGGTAAGTGGACGGGGGCATGTGACATCCTGGTGGTCTGAGGTGCCCAGTGTTCAGTGGGAAGGAGAACCATGGGTCCACACAGCAGGAGAGAAGCTGGGGCAAGACAGCTAGGCTTAGAGTCAGCAGCACACACAGCACACAGGGTTCGGAAGGGTTAGGGGTGAGGCGAGGCTCTGGGGCAGACCAGATGCAGGAGGGAACTGAGCGGGAGCAGCAAGGGAAACCAGGGCACAGTGACTAGAGGGGCTGCAACATTTTGGGACACAAAGGCAGGTCTGTTGCATCCACGGGGATGATCCCACGAAGGAAAGTGAAGAGACAGCAGACAGCGGGAGAGTCCCTGAGAAGTTTGGGGTGGGGTGGGGTTGGGGGTAGGCGCTACAAGTTACCGAACACACACTTCCTGAGCCAAGCCCTCCTCTGTGCCTGGCCCTGGGGAGGGAGGCACTGCTGACCATGGTCCGTTCCAGCTGAGGTGAAGAACTAGAGACCCCAAGGTGAAGTGCTACTGACTGAGGCCACAAGTGGCAGCCCAGGGACCTGACTGAGGCCCTGGCTCTTGAGCCCAAGTCCCCACCTGTCCTGCTATTCCAAGTAGAGGGATGTTCCTGCCTCCGAAGCAGAAGTGAGGAAGGGAGTGCTAGGCACAGAGGCGGCAAGTCTGCAGACTGGACGGGGGACTCCAGGCTGTGACTTCCAGGGTTTTAAAAGAAGAGCCAAAGCCACTGGCGGTGAGGGGCAAGCAAGCTGGGTGCAGGATCTCAGAGAGTACTGGGCAAGGAGAGGAGCCTGCTGACCAGGGAGGGCGTTAGGCTACCACCCAGATCAGCCCGAGGAGCCACATGGCCTGGGGCCTGGCCTGGTTACTCCAGTTTCTCCAAACTGGTGGGCTACCTGGCCACCACTGGGTTCAGGTGCAGTCAGAGACACATGGAAATCTAGTTTGCTTTTATAAAAATGTTCTTTAACTCCCATGATAAGACTGACTGCAAAATCTCATCTGCTAATCCAGTTGGATTGAAAATGCTTTTGTATTTAACTGGAATTTTCCCTGTGTTTCTTTAAGTTCCCACTTGTTTGTTCGCGGACGACATAAAACTGAAATCCAAAAAAAAACCTCCAGAATCAATTGTGGAGATTTATGTACTTTACCTCTTAACGCCTCTCCGGAACTCAAAGAGTTTCTGTCCCTCTGGAATGGAAAATACCCTAATCACGGTCCCCTGTGACATGAAAAGAAAAAAAATTATTTTAGCTGAGGAAAGTAGACCTTGTCTATTTCTTACACCTCAGACCACAAATGAGCCGTTTGGTACGTTTCCAGCGACGGCTCTGTGCTGGGTCGGCAGGGAACCCTGAGGTCCCGTCCTAGGCGCCGTGCTCCCCAGGGGGCCTCACGCCACCGCCAGGCTGTGTGCCACAGGCAGGCGAAAACGTTCCCTGTCCCATTGTTTACTTAATATTAAATCTTTTTTCGAACAACCTATTTTAACTTACTAATTATTCTAAACACTAACAGTCCTGAGGTCAAATGTGGAATATGACAGTTTAAACTACTAAAAATAAAAGCCTGCGTCGGAGCCCCAAGTAGTGGGAAGCACTGCTGGGCTCCACGGTCTGGGGCGGCTCCGGTGCCCTCTGAGCTCCTTTCCTGCCACTTTAAGTTGAGTTACTGATCAAGAGATCTGATTAGCTGGAAATTACATTGTCTTAAAAGGAGTAAATCCACATTTACAAAATGCGAAGACATATATTAAGAAAACATTGACCAAGGCAAAAGAAAATATAAATACATGGTGAGGTGTGTTTTCTTGCTTTGAAATGTATCGTGAAGGTACCGACTTTCCCCACCACCCCCATTTCCTTCCCCCAGGTTAGTTAGCGGGGCTCTGTGGATGGTGAAACGGGACGCAAATCTCTGGGAGAGTAAATGAGACGATAGCCAAGAAAATAAGAATGAACAGGACTTCCAACGACTGAATATTAAGACTACCATCAAGTGATAGTATTAAAATAGCCTAAGAAATAGAAAGGAAAACCTTAAATAAAACAGGTAGCATTTCAAATGTACAAGGCAGGAAGGATTATTTAACCTCATACCATACAACTTTTAGAAGATTCAAATTGTTAAATATAGAAACTGTTAAGAATATCTGACATGTTTATAAATAGTAAAAAAACGGCAGACGACCTAAATGTAGAACACCCAGGAAATGTTTAAATGAATTATGGCAAATTCATGCAGGCATTAGAAATCTGGCTATAGACAGAACAGGTTCATTTGAGAAAGTGTTATTTAAGGACAGTGGTTCTCTCTGGATGGAAAGACAAACCTGGTAAGTTTGTAATCTTGACAATTAGGGAGACAAAATATTTTCTACATCCATACACAAAAATAACCAAGGCGAAGGTTTTGTTTTTTATAGCCCAAACTTTCAGATTTAGATATAATTCTCTAATGCCACATCCACTGCGTAGTACTAATTAAGAGTTATTTTGTCATGGCACGACTGCAAGATCCTTGAAAGCAGGATTAAGTCATATACCTGGGTGGGCCCAGCACCCAGAAGCCCATGACATTCTAATCCCAGACTAAAAGGATTCTGTGTAAAAGCATATCACGTGTTTGCTCTTTCCAGCCCAGAACAAACGTATTCTATTTTTACCAGCCTTGAAATTCCATTCAGTGTTTTAGGGTCTTTGTAAGAGCTAATAAAAAACATAATGGTTAAGACTCTGATTAATCAAGAAATAGAAATTCATGGCCACTTCGCAACTCCCAAGGCAAAAGAAAGGGGACAGGTGATGCTGTGACAGTCTAGCATACTCAGAGGCAAAGCCAGGCTTGGAGTCCAATCCCTCTGTCATTGCCCAACTGGGCGACCCTGGGCACACTACTTAACCTCTCTGGCCCTCGACACAAAATGGAAAACGTCTTCCTTGCTGATGGGGGTGCATCAAGGCAATGAAGGTAATTCATGACACAGAAGTCATTCGTGACAGTAACACCATTCTGGGAGAACTTAGGTATGAGATTCCAGAATGAAGACCCATGCCAGAAAGTTAAAAAAGTGAGTCCACTTTTTACTGTATCTTATTTGGTTGGCAGGTTAGAGGGGAGAGGTGACTTGGGAGGGGAGGCTATTTTAGGATTTCAGGTAGAACCAAAATTAAATCAAAGTCAAACTCCTCAGTGGGCAACTGAAGAACAGGACCACTGCTTGGAAAGGATAAAGGCAGGAGAGTAGATTCCACCTCAAGTGGCAGGACACGATGGAACTTTTAAGAAAAGAGGAACAGAAAACGAAAAAGAGGGAGTGGCCACGAGAGGATAAGAGTGAGGCACTGCTGGTGTCCCAGGGGCCCAGGGGGCCCAGCCACTCTGCACGGGCAGAGGGTGTTGAAGAACATGCCCCGTTAACCCAGAAATTCTTACCAGAATCCCTTATGTTAATAATTAGAAATACACATAAAAGATGGGAAACAGAATACAAACATCCCAAAAGGAAGATGTTTAAGCAAGTCACAATTGAACACTGTACAGCCACTGAAATGTGTCTTTTAACTTAGAGAAATACATTATTATGCACAGTGTAAGAGAAGATAAATTATACTGATAGTAGGATTCCAATTTTGTTAAATAAAGCGGAAAAAAATGAAAGGAAATATACTGGAATGTATTCAGATCAGCTGGAGAGCAGAAATAGATCTTTGCTCTTTTACATGTTCCATTGTTTCCTGAGTTCTCTACCATAGCATGTTAATTTCACAATTAGAAAACACACTGGGTGAGGGGCGTGGTCGCAAATGGTGTTTCCACCTTCTCTGTATGTTTCCCTATTCTGCCACAGATGTGTTAGGGTTCTGGTCGGACAATGGCACAGCGTGTGCACAGCCCCCCCACAGTGGTGCACACTGTCCGTCTGACAAGTGGGTTGTGCTCTTTGCTTCTCTGTGAGTTGGTTGGTATAAAAACTTGGCTGTGTGAACAGAACTGAAAAAGTTTGTTGAAACTTTCAAACTAGTTTTCTCTTGGGTTACAGCAGACTCACCTTCTCAGAAGCAGTGGCAAGTTTGGTTCCACTTGCATCAAAAGCCAATGCTGCTAAAGGACTGTCATGGGCTGGGATCATGTTTGCAGCTCTCTGAAATGCAGAAACCAATGAAACGTGAGTGCCATGGGGCGGGAGCCCGTGACCCATATCACCACTTGGTCATTAGATAAAACTGTGCTATAGGGAGGATTGCTTGAGGCCAGGGGTTCAAGGCCAGCCTGGGCAACAACTAGCAAGACCCCGTCTCTACAAAAAACTATTAATAAAAAGTTAGCTGGGCATGGTGGCACATGCCGGTAGTCCCAGCTACTTGGGAGACTGAGGCAGGAGGATCACTTGATCACTTGAGCCCAGGGAGTTGAAGGTTATGATGATGCCACTGTACTCTAGCCCAGGCAACAGAGTGAAACCTCATCTCAAAAAAAAAAAAAAAAAAAAAAAAAAAAAAGAATAAATGAATAAAGAACTATCTAAGTAGAAAAGAAACCTTACCAAATTAATTGTATCAAAGACCTGCACCTCTCCGATGGTTGCACTCCCTGGGTACGCCAAGTAACAATTGTCGTTGTTTATTGACAGTGCACACAAGCCTGTGAATAATATCCACAAAACAAAATGCATTTCTTGGTTGTTACATACAATTTAACATTTATTTAACAAAGCATGGAGAAATCAAAAATAGCTGTGAAACAACCTTGTTTGCTGCATTTGTTTTTTAAAGTTCTGTACCCCTAAACCACCACCTTAGGTGATACCTGTATCATGAACAGACTATAGGCCTTTGGTTTGAATTGATCAGTAACCTCAAACTTGAAGGTTGATCAAACCAATGAGTTTATATGGTTCACAAGACCAGCATTAGTAGGAAGGGAGATTGGTTTAAGATCAATAGTTTTAAAATCTGTCTCATCTGTGGAACCTACAAAGAGAAAAAAAATCTCTCACCTATAGCTATCTTTAAAAGGCAAAATCAGAAACATGGGATTCTCTTTTCACAAATTAACTTACCTGCAGGGTTTGGAGGGGTCTCTCTGATCGTATGCAGTACCTTCATGTCCCGGATGTTGTGTATGTACAGAGACTCTTCCAGGCATACTATCAGCCTCTACAAAAGAGAGATGAAAGACAAATCCAAACATGAAGAAATATCCAGTACACTCTACTCTTAACCGACTCCTGAACTAAGGTGCTTTCCACTCTCTTTCAAACACCATGTAGGCTGGATGTGCGAGGTGCAGGGGATACAGATGTTTTCCGCTACCACTTGAGAGGTCCAGAGCCCACCGTGCCCGCTCCCTCCAACAGTCATGGCAGTTGTACCAGGAATTCTAACCAGGCGATTTAACTCAGTATTACACAAACTGGTAGACTGCAGCTAAGAAACACATGTTTTGGACAGACTTGGCAAACATAAGCTGCTTTTAAAAACGGATGTTGAATGAGGTACAGGGTACGACAATGAAAATAAAAGCCATGGAATTTTTTTTTTGGAGACAGGTTCTTGCTGTGTCGCCCAGCCTAGAGTGCAGTGGCATCCTCACAGCTCACTTCAGCCTCGAACTTCTGGGCCCAAGTGATCCTCCTGCCTCAGTCTCCCAAATAGCTGGGACCATAAGCATGCACCACCACACCTGGCTAATTTTTTTGTTTTTGTAGAGATGGGGGTCTTGCTAATGTTGCTCAGGCTGGTGTCAAAATTTTGGGCTCAAGTGATCCTCCCAATCTCAGGCTCCCAAAGTGCTGGGATTATAGGTGTGAACCACTGCACCTGGCTGGGATTTTAAAAAAAATATAAAATTTTATTCTGTACTCAGATTACTTTGTTACTCCATTTTATAGAAAACAGACTTATAGATGATACATCAAGGGGATGATTTATGCAAGAAAGATGCCTTGACACACACTCGGCAATGTATTACATGGACAAGAATGTCCATTTGTACATTTTAAATGAAAAAATGTTCAAGATATTGTGTCCTAGCACTCTGGGAGGCCGAGGCGGGACGATTGTTTGAGCTCAGGAGTTCGAAACCAGCCTGAGCAAGAGCGAGACCCTGTCTCTACTAAAAATAGAAAGAAATTAATCGAACAACTAAAAATATATATAGAAAAAATTAGCCGGGCATGGTGGCGCATGTCTGTAGTCCCAGCTACTCGGGAGGCTGAAGCAGGAGGATTGCTTGAGCCCAGGAGTTTGAGGTTGGTATGAGCTAGGCTGACGCCACGGCACTCTAGCCTAGGCAAAGAGAGTGAGACTCTGTCTCAAAAAAAAAAAAAAAAAAAAAAAAAAAAAAAGATACTGTGTCCTGTAATTTCTCACTCTAACCAACTCTGTCAGTTAACAGAACAATTTCCAGTTTCAATCACGTATGTAAGAGTGCCTGCGTTGTGACTACTGTATCCAGTTACCCCGTCTCAGAACGCAGCGACTGGCTGTCACGGCGTGCGTTCTGTAACCCGCCGCCTATTCAGCCTGCCCCCGATGGAAGGCTGTCGTGGACAGAAAATGCCTAAGGATCCTGTGGACAGTGCCGTTATGCTGTGAGCCGGCAGCTGCCAGGAGGCAGTCTCACGAAACAAACTCTAGCACTGCTCATAGTCTCTCTACTCTGTGCTAGATATTCTTGTTTGGGGGAAGATACAAAAAAGTAATAAATCCTTCATTTTAAATTAAAAGTTATATTAACAATTTAAAAAAAGGATAGAAGAGTCTAAAAGATTTTTAAAAGTAACATTTATAAAAGCAAAAGAAGGTAGTAAGTTAGAAAAGCCATGCTATCAACCCTATGGATGACTAGACCGATGCCCATACAGAAACAGTCAGCAAAGGCAAGGGCATGAATCGAATGGTTCAGGGACTGGGCAAAGCTGGTATGACAAGAAACCAGTAGAGCCGGTCAGTGCCCAGCAACATGGGGGCAGGCAACACACTGAGACGGGGAGTCACTCACCTGCCTGTTGAGCTTCACCGCCAGTATTGTGTTGGAGTAGCTGTAGTTGCAGATCTCGGTTCCCTTCTTAAAGTGGCAAACCTTTAGCTTCCTCGGGGCTTTGAGGCTCACGATAGCCACTAAGCTGCTTGAGAACAATCTTTCTACGATGCACACATCTTCAGTATCAGCTGAAATGAGAAAATGAAAGTTTTCCCTTTTCACATGGAGATATACACATATATGTGCATGTGCATACAGGCACAGGCAGAATCTGTTCACAAACGTGTGCCTGGGTGACAGGTGTCGCAGAGCCCTGAGGGTGTCTCTGGTCCCGTCAGAGCAGTGCAGGACTGCTCAGGGGGTCTGGAAGTTCTGATTATTTGGAGCCTTGGGAATGTTTCCACTATAAATAAGGATGTCCGTCCCCACATGAATGTTCACACAAAAGACAAATCACAGAGTTACTTAAAATGTTTCCTTTAAATAAGCTCTGTTGTTGGATTTGAATGATGTAACTTAAAAATACACTTATTAGTTTAGGAACCAAGCTACTGCATAAAGTGAAAGCTAAGATGTAAGGTCTCACTTCATTAAGACAAAACTGCTTCTAGGGAAATACGTGGTATCAATCATTTAAATCATGCACTTAACAGCCTAACAGGCTCAGCACCAGCCTAGGCAGTAACACAGTGACGCTGTCTAAAGAGTTATACATATCCAAAGTGGCATAACACATTTATTAAAAAAATTTGTAAAATTTTGCTATTAAGTCATACGCCGCTTAACACTGGGCGTATCTTCTGAGAAAGAGAAATGTGTCATTAGGCAATTTCATCCTTGTGTGAACATCACAGCGTACTTACACAAACCTAGTTGGCCTAGTGTGCTTCATAAGTAGACTATATGGTAGCACCTACAGCTCCCTAGGCTACAATTCGCATAGCATCTTACTGTGCTGAATACTGTAGGCAGCTATAACACAATGGTGAGTATCTGTGTATCTAAACAAATCTAAATATAGAAAAAGGACAGTAAAAATACACTGCTATAATCTTACGGGACCACTGTCATATGTATGGTCAGTCCTTGACCGAAACATTGTTATGTGGCCCTTGACTGTACTTAGAACAGGCAGTAAGATCAAGTGCATAATTCTAAGTTCTTTGTAGTAGTTTATTCACAGTTGCTTTTATCTAGCCAGCTGACATAAATCTTCTTTCCTACAAGAGCAAGTGAACCTTTATTTAAAAGGAACAAATGCAAGCAACTGCCACAATTTGGGAGATGCCAGAGGTGAGGGACGCAGGGAGTCAGGGCCCCAGTGTGCAGCTTCTCTGCTTAGGGGCATCTCAGAGGAAACCCCAGCCCCTTCCAGGACCTGACCCTCACTGAGGCACCATCGGGAGGTCCTGCTGGCACACGGAGGCGGGGCCTCTACCTGTTTCTATCAGCTGATGCATCTCAAGCCAACCAAGCTCAAGAGACAGACACACAACCCAGTAAAAATAATTTCCCTGTGGACCAGACCCTGTGCTCTCTGACCAGGGTCTCTTTCCCTCAGGAGACTGACGTGGACATCAAGTCACGACCAGGACCTTGCTTGGTGAGCAGCACGTCAGGAGGGCTGTGCCCACAGGTTGCCACCCTCACTTCTATAACCAGGCGCTGGCCACGCGGGGCCGGCGGATGAGTCCCTCCCTCCGTCACTGTCCAGCCTCACTCTTCAGCTTCCTGTTCTCGGTAAGTGTTTGGGCTGCACTCAGTCGCACCCCACACTGTCACCTCTAGCAGCCGCCACAATTACCACTGAGAAGCTGGGGGATGGTTTAGCAGCAGAGTTCCCTGCTAGGCTGAGGGTCCCAGGACAAGCACTTTGGCCCGGTCACAGCTGCACCCCCAGGTCGAAGGTCGCCTGACACAGAGAAGAGCTCCCTGTACGCTGGCTTAGACAGCTGAAAATGGACCTCATGACTACATTTTGGATTTCCCCAAATTCTTCAAAACACCATTAAAAAAAAATCTCTTAAATTGGGTCATATCTAAAGTGGGCTGGTCTCATTTGTGAATCAGTTGGTGAAATGCTAATATCCCCAAGTGCTACATCTAAGTATTAAAACTGCTCTTGGTGAAGTTCAACTACACTCGTTCTTACAGATGCAGCGGGCAAACACTTGGCACTGCACACCTTGGTAAGTGCTGGGGACATGACGGTGACCCAGAGAGGTGGACCCCTCAGGAAAATCAGTTTAAAAAATCAGATTCTAGTGTCAACTCTGCTATAATTAGTTGTAAGACCTGGTATCAATTTCCTCAATGGTGAAATAAGAATTGTACTTACAGCTTAATTCAAGAACACACAGGAAAACTTGGCATAGACAAAAACAGTTTTTTGACTAAATAAGTCAATTTTATTTAAATCCACTGGCACCCTAAATTAAATCAATGGTGACAAGAACTTATTTCCAGATATAGTTGATCCTCCTTATTCACGTATTCTATATTTGTGACTATGCCCGCTTGCTAAGGTGTACTTATAACCCCATGATCAACACTAAGATATTTACCTAAGATAAATGAAAACGTGTACACAAAAAGACTTGTACAGGAATGTCCATTGTAGCTTTATTCATAATAATTTTTTTTTTTTTTTTTTTTTT